AGTTGAGAAAGTCAAGGATGACCAACTAGACTAAGCTCAACTAATTGATAGAAACAGTGAGGTGCCACAATGCATATGTTTAGTAAAAGTGCCTAGATAGTTGCAAAAATGGGTCCTTAGGGCTCTACAAACATAATGGGGAACTAATGTTTAAACCAAAGTTTTATCTAGAGAACACCATAAAAGGGAATGGATTGGAATTTGGAAGTGTAGGGTTCAACTTTGTTTATCCGTATAGGTTCTATTGATTTCTGTTAATTGTTTGCTATCTATGAATACTCTTCCTATTAAATATCACGTTAACACACATAACCAATCACGTGTTTCTATTTTAACAATTGTATTTACTTAAATACGATGAGTTCTCATTATTTTTTTTATGACGTGGAAGATATGATTCAATCAATTCAGCTTGATTTGACAAAATCGAACTCCAAAATATCGAGCTTTGAGATAAATGACCGAGAAGTATACTCTCTCACGTCATTCCAACTCAACATGCTATGTATTTTCTACAAGTTTTATAGCTCACTTTGAAAGAAAATGAAGGGAATAGAATATGGTCAAAAACTTGGTACCACTAGAGATTTGATCCTCAATGTATATATACTTTTGGGTAATGATTTGTTTGGTTTCTCCTTTTAGTCGTGTATGGGTAGCGTCTTCGTTACGTACTGTGGACTCTTTGATTCGTAGGCCCTAGCACGAAATCTTCAAGGATCAAGCTTTCTTTTTCATGGTGAGAGGATCAAGCTACTCTATTATATATATTGATGACGTATTCCTTAGACTTATGTTTATAACATAACTTTTGGATAAACACAATCACCTGTAAATCAAGTGCATCGTCTTAAATACTTATTTGACTCAATCANACATAACTTTTGGATAAACACAATCACCTGTAAATCAAGTGCATCGTCTTAAATACTTATTTGACTCAATCAAAAAGAGTTGAACTCACGATGTAAAGATTTTTATGAGTCTTAAAATAGGAAGGAGGAGGACTCTTTCTTTAAGCATTAGTTAAAGGGGAAGCCATTGAGATGTGAGAGTGTAACTAGGTGGATGAGCAGAACGTATGAACCGTGGAAATCAATGTTAAACTGAGCTATAAGGCTTGTGGGGATTGTGGAAAAATTCTTAAGGTATTGGGCTAATTAACACAATGAAATTATAATGGTTCACTCGTTGGGGAATTCAGCTAACCCACTCTTTAATAGATGCTTTTGTTCATTGGATCTGTATTGATTGCTTTTTACAAATTTCAATAGTGTTCCAATACAGTTAGGGTTGCTCGCCCCTTCAATGGAGGCATTGTTCTGTATTTATAGTCTAATTCTTATTCTTGAGGGATCAACACCGAGATCCTTGGCCTTCATCTGAGGGATTGTCTTTGATTCTNATGGAGGCATTGTTCTGTATTTATAGTCTAATTCCTATTCCTGAGGGATCAACACCGAGATCCTTGGCCTTCATCTGAGGGATTGTCTTTGATTCTAGGTGAAGATCTCGGCTAATTGAGAGTTTTGCGCCTCGACGGCAGCTTTCTGTTATTTTGGGGGTTCTCTTTGTTGGCCAGCTGTCTCCCTCTCTCTTCAATTATTATTCCCTTCGAAGGGAACTCAAGGTCTAGTCCCCTGAGCTCAGGACGCTTGCTTGACCTCCATGACTGATCTCTGTGCCTGAGCTTAAACTTAAAATTTATTCTGGGTATCATCAAGATGCATCCTAATTTTTATGACAGTTATTTTTAGTAAGTACAATATTAGATAGATTAAGAATAATCCAGGAAAAAAATGTTGAATCCTTGTTTTTATCACTGAAATCCAATAAGAATATAAATTCAATGGGACGATCTATTCGAATCACTTTTTCTTTAGATTTGTGGCTGCTAGACGAACTTCAAATGCAAACAACTACACGTAAATCATTCATCAGATGAAACTTAAGATCTTGAGATATTAAATGAAATTCTGTAATTCAAACCATTCCAACGAGTTGTTGTACTATATTTTCCTAGTGATTGAAAAAATAGTGGATTTGGTGGGCAATGCATTGTCATTGAGTGTCAACCACCATCAATACAGTAAACAGATACTTTTGCAGCATATCAGCAAGCAAAAACCATAGCTGTCAAAGAAGCAATTTGCAAGGGACAACAATTAGAGTAGCATTTGGTGATGATTGTATCTCACTCAAAGATCATAATCAATGCAGGGCAAGGCAAAGGTAAAGTTGGTGCAGCAGACTCCCCAGCTCTCTCTCTCTCTCTCTCTCTCTCTCTCTCTCTCTCTCAAATTGTTAAGATAATTATGAAATTGAGTTTACCAAGTTAATAGAAATAATTACATTAGTGAGATCCACTGATCTTTTCTAGTGAACTTCATTAATCCACTCATGCGTATCAACTTTGTAAAATATATTTGATATATATTTTGGTGCCTACATCATTAGTGGTTTTTTCATCTATATACAATGATGTGCCACTATTCCAATGAATCAAGGTACTGGGTTTAAGGCCTTAGTTTCTACCAAATTGAGACACTCCGATTGTCTCGTTCTCTTGGACAAGTTTAATCACAGAATTAACAATTAGAAAGAAAGACGATTGTCATATGTCAGAAGAATGAAAGTTCTTCTCCTTAGTGTTTACAAGTTTTCACATCTATTGATCGGCCGCTTTGAGGCTTCCAAAAAAGACCTTGAAATCCATTTCATTGAGCGTTTGGTATTTCTTTTGGTCAGGCCCGAACCCACCTAAACATGGACATAAGACAAACAAAAGAAGAGGTCATGATAAATCAAAGATTACCAAAAGATTAGTGTGTGGGGTCGCCAACTATGCTAAGCCTAGTTTGTTAACTCCCAAATTCTTCTTAAATCTATGAGAAATAAAGTTCTCAAACAAGTAATAAAATTAGAAGCTCAATTTGTTAGAAGAAATGTACATTAATATTATTAGCTAAACATGCATGCCAAATTTTATACCAATTATGTGCAAAGTATTATAATAGTCTAATGAAAAACATGGAGTCAATCGAACAAGCTTCAAATTTTAGTATTATTCATTTGTTTTTTAATACGAGGGATATTGAACGAGAATAATTTAAATTACACTCGAAATATTAGATTCGTTTATTTATCATGCACTAGAAAATCATTACATTAAGGTGAGGGCAAAAAATTCTATAAACATAATTTGTATAAACAATCATTTCTGCACAAAACATTCCCTTCCCAAAAAAAAAACCCAGAAATTTAAAAAAAAAAAAAAAATCACAACCAATAATAATGTCAAACAAACGCCACCAACGGAGCCGGCNACCCAGAAATTTTAAAAAAAAAATCACAACCAATAATAATGTCAAACAAACGCCACCAACGGAGCCGGCTCGTAACAGAACGGCGCCGCCGGGTGCTGCCACTTCTTAAACACCACCGCCTTCTCCTTCGCGGCCTCCGTGCTCTGATTATCATCAGGCCGTCTGATCTCAGCCGTTAACTTTTTTGACTGCGGCGCCGACGGTGACGTTACCAACGGTGATAAAAGAGGTATCGCCACATTCCAATCCGATGGTCGGTTTATCTGTATCGACGCCGGTGCTCTTCGTTGTAACCGAATTGACTGACGCCGATTGTCGGAGTTTTTCACTTTGATGTCGGCCATAAGCGATTATAGGAGATGGGTATTTCTGAATTGTATGATTTTCGATCGTATTGGAGAGGGAGAGGGAGAGGGAGAGAGAATGGAGGGAAGATTTGTTGGAGAAGGTATGTATAAGGGGCATGTAGCGAACAAGGTTGGAATTTGGCCGTGGTTGGTATGAGAAAGAGTCAGAGTCAAAAGGTGGAATTGGTCGTTTCAAGTTTCAACCTCGGCTTTCTTAGAGTAAATTACACTTTACTTTTCTAAACTATTACTCTCGTTGTATTTTGCACATGTAATTATAAAATTTTTCACATTACGTTTTAAAATATTAATTTTATTTTATATCATTCTAATAAATAACGACAAACTTAAAAATACCACTTTATTTTTCATCTTTTGCAACTAAAGATTGCTAAAAAAAAAAAAGAAATTGGCTAGAGGAAGCAAATTTAAAATTTAAAAAAGACAAAATTATGACTAGATGTTTTTCTTGATTTTTGATTTACATCTGTGCAATATGCAATTACTTATTAATAATACAAATCATTCACATATGTATTTATCGTCAAAAAATTAATAATAGTAATATGAAATAAAATTAACATTTTAGAATATAATANAAAGACAAAATTATGACTAGATGTTTTTCTTAATTTTTGATTTACATCTGTGCAATATGCAATTACTTATTAATAATACAAATCATTCACATGTGTATTTACCGTCAAAAAATTAATAATAGTAATATGAAATAAAATTAACATTTTAGAATATAATATAAAAAATTTTATAATTGAGAATACAAAATAAAATAAGAATAATAATTTATAAGAATAAAATATAATCTAGTTGTTGACGGAGTAGCACTAAAATAGCCTCCTTCATTAGACAAAATCTCTCTAACTTTTTTTTTAAAAAGTAAAATACACTTTTAGTCCACAAAATATAATATAACCAATCTTTCAATTATGTCTAATTAATTCCTAAGGTTTTTATTTTTGTATTTATATAATGCAATCCCAAACTTTTTCAATAAATTTTAAATATCTTAATCACCTGATTTAATTCACAATTTTTTTATTTTTTTTTGAGAATTTTCAAACATTGACCATTCGATTGCCAATCAAAATATGCTCTCGAGTCTCAAACTTCCCATTGACAGAGTCACAGAATATGCTCGATAGATTTACACAATAAAAGCACCATTTCCCTAATGTTGACATTTGCAAAATTGGGGGCTAGGTATTATAGGCTATACAAAAAAATAACCCCTAGAGCATGGTTTCATCTCTAATATCTTACAAGTCTCATTAAATATGACTAGGATTGGTGTGATTTGAAAAACGAATCATCTGAAAAGCATTTTAAGTTCTTCAATCCTAGCTGATCGGACTTCCTCGTCGGTGAGGGCTCCAGCTATCATCCGTTGCTTTCTTGCTTGAACTTGTTGCATCCGCTCTTCCACCGTGTCCTGCAACCATTATATAAAACTACTAGTTATTGTCTGTGCTTAAAATTACAAAATAATAAACAATAAACATATTTATATTCATATTTAAAATCAAATCACAAATACAAAAAATAAATAAAAAAATTTAAATATCAATTTATAATGAGGTGAAAAGTGATAGACGACAGTAATGGTGATAGAAAACGATGATTATTGTGATAAATGACAATTACCGTGGTGACGACGATAACAATAGTGGTGGCAACAGCAATGGTAGTGATAGTGGTTGTAGTGGTGGCGGTGGGGATGGTGAAGGCGGTGGGGGTGAGTGTGACAGTGATAATGGCGACGACAATAATGGTGGAGGCGACGACAAAGGAGGTGATGGCAATAGTGGTGGTGATAGTGGCGGGAGTGGTGATAGCGGGGGCAAGGGCGACAAGAGTGATAGTGGTGGTGGCGTCGACGCTGGTGGTGGTGGCAGTGGAGGCGGCGATAATAATGGAGGTGACGGTGGTGGCGATGGTAGTGGTACAGGGAGTGGTGAGACAATAGTAGCGATGGAACAATTTCAAACATTATATTTTAAAAATATTTATGANAATTTCAAACACTATTTTTTAAAAATATTTATGAGAAATAATTTTAAAAATACTTCAAAAAAATATTCTAAACACATCTTTAAGAACCTATTTTTCCTATTAAATTTATGATATTAATATTAACCATTATATTAACTTTAAAATAAAATTTAAAACAATCATAATCGCGAATAACAAAAATTATTTGATTTATCTTTTGAGATTTAAATTATAAACTATTTTATTATATAGATGTATTGATAAAATTTGTAGCCGACGATGATGATGNATAATCGCGAATAACAAAAATTATTTGATTTATCTTTTGAGATTTAAATTGTAAACTATTTTATTATATAGATGTATTGATAAAATTTGTAGCCGACGATGATGATGNATTTTTCCTATTAAATTTATGATATTAATATTAACCATTATATTAACTTTAAAATAAAATTTAAAACAATCATAATCGCGAATAACAAAAATTATTTGATTTATCTTTTGAGATTTAAATTGTAAACTATTTTATTATATAGATGTATTGATAAAATTTGTAGCCGACGATGATGATGATATATTGTATAACATGAGCAGGTTTGATAAAAATTGACACCCTTTCCCTCCGTTGTCCTAGTAGAAGTTTGTGTTAATGGAGAATAACATGAACTGAGGCCTTTACACTCGTAACTATAAACCCAAATTCAAGATACTTATAATCATTTGCAAACCATGCACATAATCCGGGGTTATAATAGACGCATCAAAAAAAAAAAAATTGTTGGAATAAAGCATCTCACCTTGACAATNCATTGTCCTAGTAGAAGTTTGTGTTAATGGAGAATAACATGAACTGAGGCCTTTATACTCGTAACTATAAACCCAAATTCAAGATACTTATAATCATTTGCAAACCATGCACATAATCCGGGGTTATAATAGACGCATCAAAAAAAAAAAAATTGTTGGAATAAAGCATCTCACCTTGACAATGAATCTTCTAACGCAAACTGTTCTTTTTTGACCAATACGATGAATTCGCATTATCGCCTGTTCCTCTACTGCAGGATTCCACCATGGATCCTATACAATATGAAAGTTGAAAAAGAAAGCAAAGAAAATAGATGAAAGAAAGAACAAGAGAGGCAAAGATATAATTGTTTACCATGAGAAAAACATTAGAAGCTGCAGTCAAATTCAAGCCCACACCACCAGCTTTCAGTGACATTAACAATACCTGGAAAATGTAAATACAATCAGATCTAGCATTTGATAAGCAACAACATTGAATCAGTATCAAACAGCCAAACCATCAGGAATGATTTGAAGAAACAGAAATAAGGCCCAAAACAATTAATAGTACTTACCATTTTGTCTCTGGTCTCACTGAACTCCTTTAAGACCCTCTCTCTTTGTTTTTGAGACAATTTCCCATCAAACCTTAAGAACAAAATTCCTCTTCTCTTGAGGGGGATCTCCAAAAGATCCAAAAAAGAAGTCCACTGGCTAAAGACAATGCTCTTTTCTCCAGAACCTGAATGAATTGTACGTTCCAAGCAATCCAAGAGCTTTGAAACCTTGGAAGACTCCTTCCAGTTCTTCTCAACATCAACTCTGAACCGGTTTGCAGATGGGCAGGTAATGAGTTCAGTTTTCTTAATCAGTTGCCTACATATTGGGCATAGCCCACATGACGGTGTTCGCCAGCATGAGAAAAGACACTCCCTGCACATCCTATGTGCACAAGGTGTGAGCACAGGGTCATCTGCAGACTCCAGGCATATAGGGCACTCTGTGTTTTCACCCTGCCGGAGACCCTCAACAACCTCTTGAACATATGCTTCACTTGGAACTTTATGAGAGGCAGAATCAGGATTCACCTCAAGGAACCTTCTGGCAAGTTTGTTCAGGTCAGCATATTCTTGTGAATCACCTCGGCTGCAGGTTTTAGAGATGCGAGCAATGTCAGATGAAACACAAAAAGCAAAACCAATAGCAAAAAGAATGGAAAAGACGAGTATTTTGTTCCAAGTAGGTTACAAAAATTCCAAATCCATGCTCACCTCATAACAAGAAATGGGTGGTTGCAACACTGCCTCAATCGAAGCAGCAGCTCAAGAATATTTGCATAATTGTGAAGAACTTTGCCTTGTGCCACAAACTGGTCAAACTGGACCTGTTTATATTGCAGAAAAGATACAAGCTTCAATCTTCAAAGGGGGAATGACAAGGTAATTGTAGGGGATTTATCCACGCGTTCAAGATGTCCTCCCCGCACCGAAGGATTTTAGCTGACCTGGCGTAAGCCTACGCTTTGTGCTAGTAGCCTTTACCTCTCGGTCTCCGAGGGCACGCTTATCCCACATCGACGGAGAGTCGTCTCCCTCCCTTGCATATAAGCCTTGGCACTATATGGAGGTGGTACCCACTAGTAGTGGCAAGGCTTATATGCGAGGGGGGAAGACGACTCTCCGTCGATGTGGGACAAGCGTGCCCACGGAGACCGAGAGATAAAGGCTACTGGCACAAAGCGTAGGCTTACGCCATNTGTGGAGGTGGTACCCACTAGTAGTGGCAAGGCTTATATGCGAGGGGGGAAGACGACTCTCCGTCGATGTGGGACAAGCATGCCCACGGAGACCGAGAGATAAAGGCTACTGGCACAAAGCGTAGGCTTACGCCATGTCAGCCAAAATCCTTCGGTGGAGGGAGGACATCCCGAACACGCAGATAAATCCCCTACAGTAATATCAGAATGCAAAGACAATTTAAATCAGTGAAATGATTGATCACCATTTTTGATCACTCAAAATTACTGTAGTTATCATAATAGTGATATGCATATCTTTTTTAAGGTTCAGGCATAAAACATTCATTATGCATGCTAAAATGGATCTTACTTTTGATCTCCTGAAGAGGGCATCATAAAAATCATGTTCAGCTTCTGTTTGTTCACAGTCAATGACTTGGATATCAGTTGGAGGAAGGACAAGTATGGGCCTGATTTCACATGCATAAATCATCAAGATGTTAACATGAATCAGATTTTACTTGCAGCCAAAGGAAAGTAGAAAGAAGACCAAACAAACGAGAATTTTTACCTTCCCTCTTTATCCTTTGTGTCTTTTGTTCTTCTCAACATCAATGGCCTCAGAATAGACTTGATCAATTTCAGCCCTCTCTGATCACCATTCTCATAAGGCCTCTGAATCAATTTGTGCCACCTAGATAATGGAAATTTTTCATTGAAGAAAAAGGACACAATTATTTAATCATCTCATCCTTGAAACTAAATGCAATATCATTTATCTTTTCTCCATCAATGTTGTAGGTTATCACGTAACCGATTAAACCAACATGGCAGAGTTATTGCATTTATGAATTTTTTTTGTCCATACCAAGCCCAGTTGCACCAGGGCTCAACATGCAAGAAGCATAGGAGGCTGTAGAGGTCTTCCAAATTATTCTGCAGCAACAGATAATGATTTTGTAAATACTTATTGGACAAAATATCAATTAAATTCAACAATGAAACCATTAAACCAATAATTATTCATCATGCAAACATCTGCCAGTGCATATTACACCACCAAAAGAATTGTCGGAAGGCATATGTCCCCGATGTCCCCACATCATTGACGCTATCACACTGTAAAACAATTAAGAAAGAAAAGGCATACCTGAAGAGGTGTTCCAGTTAGACACCAGCGGCAATACGAAGACAACGTGAAGGCAGCCTGAGCACCTTGAGTCCTTGAAGCTTTGATAGTATGGGCTTCATCTAACACTACCCGATGCCACTCAACTCTATGGAAAATGCTGTTCTCTCCATCCTGCAATTGAATGCACAGAGATAAGGATAAGAAAAAAACTGGCATAAGAAGCATGTATGCTCTACATATCCGACTACCCCTTTGGCTGTGTCCGACGCCAACACTTCTTGAACACTTTCAGAAACATGTCCGAACCCCCCCACCCCCCCCAATGGCCGTGTCCACTGTCCACACAACATTGAGTGTTGTCCACTATTATGATTTCATAATTTACCATAGCTGCAAAACTTTTGACTTACATTTACCCATCCAAAAATAAAAGACTTACAATTTTATAAGCTGCAGTTAAGACGCCATATGTTGTTAAGACCACATCAGGTTCTGCAATAACCTTGGGATCATTGCTTCTATTCCCACCATAGTGAACAAAAATTGAAATGCTTTCTGGCTTTGAATGGGTTCCAAGCTCGTCCTGGGGTTTCAAACATAAATGATAAGGTCTCTAGAAAAGTTTCATGGAGTGCAGCAACATCTCACAATTGAAATCAATAGTATTACAGANAACGTACTTTACTCAGAAAGATATAATTTTCATATTATACAACTTTATAGATATGTAGGTAATCCAGATAACAATATCTGTGTACAGATAATTGGGCAATGCTCCATGTTTTGCTAGCCAGGCGAAATAGTTGAAAAAAATAGCTTGGTTAATTGTAACTAGATAATAAAACACAAATAGAAATATATTTATTAGTGGACATGTTGACTACATGGCCATAGCCTTCCTTTTTAATGATTTGTTGTGTACGTGCTATTCCATGCCTGCTCCCCTGAGTCCATGCCCATGTTTCTTAAGCAACAGGAGCCGTGGCAAAAAAAGTGACAACCATTTGTGGAGTAACTAATTTTCCAAAGTAGATAAATAAACAAAAAAAAAAACACAAAACAAGATGGGATGACTTACATTTACCCATCCAAAAATAAAAGACTTACAATTTTATAAGCTGCAGTTAAGACGCCATATGTTGTTAAGACCACATCAGGTTCTGCAATAACCTTGGGATCATTGCTTCTATTCCCACCATAGTGAACAAAAATTGAAATGCTTTCTGGCTTTGAATGGGTTCCAAGCTCGTCCTGGGGTTTCAAACATAAATGATAAGGTCTCTAGAAAAGTTTCATGGAGTGCAGCAACATCTCACAATTGAAATCAATAGTATTACAGAACTTATGTGCAGACACAATGTAAAAGGAGTAAAATGGTGAAATTGAGCACAAAACAGAACCCACAAAGCAGTTGCTTTCTTAGTATCATTTTAAGCAAAAAGACTCACATTCCACTGGCCGAGCAAAGCCATGGGACAAACAATGAGAGTGCCGCCTTTAACTTTTAGTGGCACTTGTGTATCAGAATCTTTCTTCTTTCTCTTTATATATTCAGTATCATCCGCTGCCTCTATGAGTATGTTTTGGCTATTAAGGCTTCCTCTGCCAGGTCTTGCAAGTATNGCATCAGAATCTTTCTTCTTTCTCTTTATATATTCAGTATCATCCGCCGCCTCTATGAGTATGTTTTGGCTATTAAGGCTTCCTCTGCCAGGTCTTGCAAGTATCAGAGCAATCGTCATCACAGTTTTTCCAAGCCCCATTGCATCTGCCAAAATCTACAGATACGCTTGTCGAATTAGAGAAGAGAATAGTATATCACCTACCCAAAAAAATGTGAAAACATAGTCGCACCATATATGATAATAGTTAACACGATTTTACATGAAATTATGAAAACATAAAATATAACAGAAATAAAAGTTAAATGGATAGTGTAAAAACTTACTCCTCCTCTTGCCATCTGTGTTGCAGTAGGAAATTTTGTAGTTGCTTCCCCAGAGAAAGTATTCACATAAATAGCAGTTGCCCTCCTATTGAGAAGCTTCTTTAATCAAGTTACAGACTTCAGAGATGTTTGGAGTAAAATGCTTCCATATAGGTTATGAGCATAAATGCATTATATTCTTTTTAAAAACTATCAATTCACAAAAAAGCCACTCACTCATCCAATATACTGTACTCAGCCCAACATGGATGAAGGGTTTTAGCTGCTTTCTCAATATCTACTCCCTTCTCTAACCCTGACATCCAATTAAGAGCCTGTTTTTGATATGGCCTCAAATCACACATTAGTGCATCTGGAGGATCCATTTCCTATGCAATTTAAACACAGAACAAAGAAAATGAGAAGCAGCAACCAAGCTGAACTACCAAATCAAGTTTCATTTAATGCTGCAACTATTTATAGCTGCAAATTAAAAGACATAGCTATTGTACAATTCTACCTCCAAGTTATATACATCTGCAGCACCAACAAGCTTGTTTAACGATGATTCTGAGATATCCTGCTCGTCTTTCTTTTGTTCTGGATATTCCTGGCAACCATTTCTTCTTTTAGTTATAGCTAACATGGATGCAGTTTCATCTGAATCACCCTGTTTGATTAACAACTAAAATGTCAATAGAGCCATTTTATTTCCACACATGACTGCATAGATCACCCATACAGATCGATATTGTGTGTGTTTGTACGTGTAGGTGCTTCAACATTTGCTGTGGTTTGCTTTTGTTCTTTTGTTTATCTGTTATTTTCACAAAAACTAGTGAAACTCTGTCTCTGGACATGTAAGCCTAAGGTCACCAAGAAGAAAGATGCAAATGTTTGCTTGGTCTATTAAGTACAATACACATCACGGCCATAACCCAAACTTGAGATTAAATGTTGCAACTCTTCCATAACCTCAAACGAGTATAAACTAAATTCACAAGATAACAAATAAGATGTGGCGATACTTACTTCTAGATTCAGTGACCTTTTCCGAGAATCAAGTTCCTCTGGACTAAAGTCAGCCTGGTTGAAGACAAATATAAAAACAACATAAAAGCCGTATCAAAAACCCAAAACAGTAAAAAAATTGAATTACAGGACTCAAATTTTTTGTGAACAGCAGTGTATATAGTACCTTGTGACGAGGTTTGAATTTCAGCAATTTGAACAGGGTCAACAGAGGATAAATTGTGGAGTCAATGGTCGAGGGGGAACCTAGCTTCCAAGATGACTCATCACCTGCTGTGAAGACTGAATGATGAATGTAAAAGCTGCCAACCAAGATAGAGAGTTGAACACCATAGAAAAATATTAATAACTAAACAATTGCTTAACTAGTCGAAATATTAGAGTAAACAAAATTAGAATTAAAAAAGGTGGAAAGCACATCTACAAATGAAAATGTTGCCTATCAAAGGAAGTTGCAAATTTATACCTTACATACAACATTATCTCTTGCATCAATTGAAGAGTTGACGGTGCAGCTATGCATCGACCATAAACTTTCACCTTTGAAGACCTAACAAGAGGAATGAGGCATTTTGCCCACTCCATCGGAAGGCGACCAATCTGAATATAAATCAGAGACAGAACACATCACTTGTTAAAGTCCAAAATAGAATGTGCAGTCTAGCAAATTCATATGAATTCCACCTTTTTTATACTACCAACGACATTAAAATGTGAATAAAACACAAGGAAACATCAATAACAGGATATTTATTACAAAGGTGGCATTAAATGAAGTAATCCAGAAAAGCCTACCTCTCCAGATCTTTTGGTCGAAAAACGAACAATCCATTGTATGTTGTTCTTAAATCCTGAATTTGAAGAACGAAAAGCAAAGTGAACAATCTCATTGTTCTCCAATTTCCTCCCTTTGGTGGTCAAAAGGCCAGTCATTGGCGTTCTGCCCACCAATAACCAGTCAGGTTCTTCAGGAAAATCCCCATCCTCTATTACAACTGTACTAAGCCTATTGTCTACAACTCTTTCCTTCACAGGTTTCGCCATATTATAACCAGAACCCATCTGGGTTCTTCGATATTCATGACCCATTATTGGCCATTGGGACACCGGTTGAGCACAAATTACCCCCTTTGATTCTTCTTTTACACTGAGCTTATTCTCCAACCCCAAATTGGACTCATCTTTCACTTTAACCTCACTCTTCAACCCACTACAAAAATCAGCTTCTCCTCTTGATTCTTCAGGCCTTTCTTCTTCCTTACATTGGTTAACGTTCCTAGTCAATCGAAGCCACTCTCTGTAAGTCAAGTCCTTTTGTTTCTCTGGGTCTCTTAATCCAATACCATCCACACTTGCAATTTCTTTGTTCACACCCAAATCAGGCTTTTCCTTCACTTTGCATTCTTCCGACTCTTTAGCCCTCTCTTCCTTAGCCATTGCATTGATATAATCATCATCGGCCTCAACTTTTGTATTTGTAGCTTGTAAAAACTCGTCAAAAGTTAATTTCACACCATGTTTCTTAACACAAACAGAGCCCTCACCTTCAAGCCCTACATCGGGTTCTTCCTTAACTTTCACCATCATTTTCGACCCATCAAAGGGTTTGATCTCTTCTGATTCTTTATCACTATCCGTCTTGATTTGGGTAGTTGAAATCCGATACCCACCGGTGCTGTTAACCGTCCGCTTAACTGTTAGTGGCGGAGATGAGAAACAGGGAGTGTCGAGGATGTAGTTGATGGCTTTATCTGGGTCGTTGTTGCATTGAGAGAGGGCTTTGACAATGTCCAGTTCCGAGATATCGGGACCGATTACTGACCTGATCATCTTGATGGTTTCCAAATGTTCTGGTTCTAAAGAATCAATGGGTTTTGCCTCCATATCTTTGTAAAAGAATTGAAAGTTCTTAAAAGAAGTTTCTGAGGACTAAGAATTGATACAGATTGAGCAATGGAAGAAATGAAGAGAAAGTGTTAGCGTCTGAGAGAGAGAGAGGAATGAACGGAGGGAGAGATTTGGAGGGTTTTTGATGTTATAGTGAGACTAATTTTGGCGCGAATATTTTTTTCACATTATTAAAAGTTGGCGATCTTTTCTGTTAATTCTTTTCTCTGTAATTTTTTTGGCGCGAAGGTCAGAGTAAAAAAAAAAGGTCAAAATCTCAAAAACATGGTAGCTATGCGGCGTCGTTTTTGTACGTTTTAGAGAAAAAAAGTTTGGAAAATTTATGAAAAGGTACACCTTTTCATACTTATTTATGTAAAAATACCTCAATATAAAGTATTTGTATATAAGTACCTTTATGTGTAAATATTTTACGAAAATGTACACTTTTGTTGAATTGTAATTTTTTTCTCTTACAAAATTATCATTTTTCTTTATAAATTGGAGACAAATATGGTAGTTATATTAAGAATTCAGTTTCTTAATTTTATACTATATCTTTTTTGAATTTTAAATTGCCTATTCATGTGTGATTGACTAACCGTTTATTCAAACATTTCATACCTATTCCTCTATCATTCAAGCCTCTTTCTCTGTCATTCACTCCATTTCGTAACCAGATTTTCAAACATATTCCAATTAGTTACAATGAAAAAAGTGCATCAGGTATGTAGTCCATATGTTTTTTTTTAAATCGTTACAGTCTCTTAATGTCAATCATATTTATGTGAGGATAAATGTTAATAATAATAACTCAAATGGAGATGATCGTAATAATCAAGATGATAATTCTGATTTACAAGATGATTTGCTGCCTCGCACAATAATATCACAATGCTTCAAGACAATGTCACACTGGTACTAAAAAATGTCACACTGCTACAAACCAAATTCACACTGCTACAAACCAATGTCACACTACTACAAGTCAATATCACATTGCATACATTGACATAACGCATGACACAATGTAATAATCAAGATGATGATTCTGATTCGAATGATAATTTGCTNTAGTTACAATGAAAAAAGTGCATCAGGTATGTAGTCCATATGTTTTTTTTAAATCGTTACAGTCTCTTAATGTCAATCATATTTATGTGAGGATAAATGTTAATGATAATAACTCAAATAGAGATGATTGTAATAATCAAGATGATAATTCTGATTTACAAGATGATTTGCTGCATCGCACAATAATATCACAATGCTTCAAGACAATGTCACACTGGTACTAAAAAATGTCACACTGCTACAAACCAATGTCACACTACTACAAGTCAATATCACATTGCATACATTGACATAACGCATGACACAATGTAATAATCAAGATGATGATTCTGATTCGAATGATAATTTGCTTCCCCTCACGGTAATGTCACACTGCAACAAACCAATATCACACTGCTGCAAGATAATATCACATTGCATATATTCACATGACGCATGTCATACTATATATGGCCTCTTTGTTTTTTGTTTTTTTTTTTTTTGGCAAATGGTTGAACACTTGGTATGCATGTAATACCAAACACCAGAAGTACAAAGGTTATTGAGGGAAAAAAAATAGATAAAATAAAAACGTTGGGAGAAACACAACGATCTTCTTCTTTAACAATGAATTTCGATATGGTCATCACTGTTTAATACCAATATTTCCTCTTATTCAAAGTGAACCCATAAAAAAACTCATCACTTATTCAAAGGAATTTTCACATCCTATTTAGCGATCAATATGAAGTTTTGAATCAACAAAACTTAAGGGATCCCTTAAGTTTCGATTATGATTGTTCATTCCAATTTCTTAAGAGAATCAAGAAAACAGACTTCATCTCTCTCTCTCTCTCTCTATAA